AAAAAAGACTATAAATTGTTTTACTGTAACATGTTGACAGGTTTGGTATGGTGCTACAAACCCAAGGTAGTTGCTCTGGAAGAAACAATAAAATATTTTGTCTTTGACACCCAGAACTGTCTCATTTCCACTGTCGTAAGGCCTTATGTGATGTGCTAAACAAGGCAGCATGGTGCTTTCAAATACCTGTCTGCTTTACTCTTTCCCAGCCAGTATCCTGAGACATTTGTATTTCAGTGTCAGAACGCTACTCTGGGCTGCCATTGCCATTGTTTGAGGGGCGTGTGCAGAGGGCAATGCTAACTGGTAGCATGGGGATGGCTGGTAGTATGTGAAAGTGTGGAGGGGGTAAACGATGAGTGTGGCCATCTGGATGGCGGAAGGAAGAGGTGACCCATCCCTTCCTCCCAACCTCCCAGGACTTCTGCCAGCAACTTCCCAAGCCTGTCACACACATGTCAGTGAAGTTTGAAAAATATACTATTTGTTGTCATCAAAACACTGAATGGAATTTTGTTAGTTTAAATGATATGGTAATTTCTTTTATTAGAAGTTGAAAGTCTAAGATTTCAACGCTCTTTCCATTCTGCTTTACAAAGGAAATAAGAGGATGCTACTTAGGATTTCAGGGTTCTATTCATCTGAACCTTCTGTGAGCAGGAGCACTGCTGGGAACAGGACCAGCCCAGGCCTCTGAAGGCTCTGTGGCACTCCCAGGTCAAAGCCCAGCGGCAGGAGCCCAGCCCTGTCTCTGGAACAGAGCCTACCCACTTCCTGCAGGCACACTCCAACTGCAGCCCTGGGCTCCCATCAGCCCGTGTCCCGTGTCCCCAGTCCTTAGCTAACCCCACCAGGCCCCAATTCATTGGAAATAACCTGACCAGCTGCACCCTCATACCTGCCTTTATATTTACCTGCGAACAAAACCTGGGCTCTAAGAGGACTGGACTAAACTCACCCCTTGGGGCTCAGCAATCCCTCCAGGCCTGTGAACACTCCCTAGGCAGGCCCGGAATAAATGTGACTCTGGAATTTGGTTTGATGAAGCAAACTACCATTCACCTTGCTAAATCCCTTTTGATGTCAGCTTTCTTAATTTGAAGAACAGAGTTCCCAGTAGAGCCTGGGAAGCCATTCACTAGGGTAACTCTTACAGTCTTTTCCAGCACAATTCTACCATCTTGGGCGAAGAGAGAATTCCAGTGTAAAGTTGAAGATAACAGCAATGAACTATTCTTTGTCTCTTCATACAGCGCCAAGAGCTTGAATCAGAAAACAAAAAACTGAAAAATGAGCTAAATGAGTTACGCAAGGCACTTAGTGAGAAAAGTGCCCCAGAGGTGACCGCTCCAGGTGCACCAGCCTACCGTGTCCTCATGGAGCAGCTGACCTCTGTGAGTGAGGAGCTCGATGTCCGCAAGGAGGAAGTCCTCATCTTGAGATCTCAGCTGGTGAGCCAGAAGGAGGCTATCCAACCCAAGGTAAGCATGAGCAAGTGACCAAAGTGGATGTCTGGGAACAAGCCTCTTTCTTTCTATCCTTTTCCTCCAGTTTATAATGAAGCAAACACTTAGGAGCATTTTTAGTCTAATTAGCATTTAGTGTAAAGGATATTGTCATTTTTTTAAAAATCTAAATGTTGCTTTAAAACTGTTGAAAATGCCAATTAAAGTGAGCAAAAAATAAATGAAATCCCAAATGATCTTCCAAGTTTCATTTCTCATAAGCAAAGGGCTTTTAAAATTAATCTTGAAGTAGTAATCTGGCCATGATAAATGTTGATCAGAAGTAAAATTTGGAGTGCCTGGCTGGCTCAGTCAGAAGAGCATGTGACT